AAGAGTCCTACTGAGATTTCTTTGGACAGGAAGCGTTAACAGGGCTATAATCCCCTATATAAGCCCAGTTTCCATTTCATTTTCCATTTTCTTTTCCATTTGATTCTCCATTATAGTAGATACCCCTACTTTTGGGAAACCTTTAAATCTTGTAAGACAACTGCTTGTACCGCTGGAGCTAGTCTGGGCTTGCGCCAAACAACTGAGCCGTGACTGCGACCCAAGCACAATACACACGCATGCGCAGGGGCCACATATACTGCCTAGGCCCTCCAATGTAGTACCTTTTTGGTAGTCCTAATAAGAATCCTAACCAAAAAGCCATACCAAACCCAAAAAGGAACTACATTGGAGGGTCTAGGTGAGGCCTACATACCAGCCTTCAAAAAAACAGCTCAGCGGTAGAGGCCGTTGTTGATGCGGTCGATGAAGTAGGCAGGGCTGGCCGGCAAGCAGACCAAGTTGCCTTCGTACTTCTTAGCAATGTTCTTCAGCTGGTCCGTCATGCCCGGGATATCGTAGATTTCCGAAACCTGCTTGTAAGGCCCATGGGTGCCGATGAGACCCGCAATGGTGGGGAACATGCCCGGGAACTGGCGGTAGGCCTGCATGTTGGAAGTACATCACGAAACCCTTCTTGCATTATAGCAATAAGGAGAAGGCACTATAGGACATATTACCTGGCAATACCCCGGCGTCCATCATACTCCGTTTTCTTGTAGTTTGCTTCCCCATGATTAGTTAACACGTGAGCTGTAACAATGTCATTCCTGTGTAAAACTCATACAAAATGGCTTTTCCCTACCTATGGCCTGAATGTTGGCATTGTTGATGTCCACTTTGTCCGTGCCGCCCAGGTACTTCACCTGGGTTGCTGTTAAGGAACTTAAATTAAGTTACCATAATGGGTAGAAATAGCAAATAATAGGGTTTCCCCAATATAGTACCCTAAACCCTAAACCCTAAATAGTAATTTATAGGGTTTCCCCAATATAGTAGCTTAATTTAAGTTCCTTAACAGCAACCCAGTAACACCATCGTAGTCGATCATCGCTTGAGCAGCACCTGAGGGGACTCTTTGCTTGTAGTGTCGGGACCTGTAAGGTTTCCCCAGAGGGTCCACAGATACAACCATTAGGGAATTGGGACCCATAATTCCTTCTATAGTATGGTATTTTGGGGCCTAATTCCCTAATAGTATATATGGACCCTCTGGGTTTCTTCTTCTGCTATTATTTCAGAATAAATACGGGGGCCTAAAAATCCTGAAGAGCACTGTTAAAGGGGAAGGTGATATAACACCTCCAAAATCACAGAAAAAGAAAAAGCAGAAGATGATTGCCCTAAGGGTCCTGGTACCCAAGTCTTGGGGTCTTCGGTAAGAAAAGCCACTCAGATCAGCATTTGGATCCTAAAGCCCCATCATTTGAGTACTTACACCCTTTACTTGGAGGCTCATACTAATCAAGGCCCCAGTTACAACTGTACTCCTTACTACTATGACCCCCAGAAGGGTAACCGTCATTTTGGGAAACCCGAATCCCAAAACCCTGAAACTCTAATGTCCCCTAGAATCCCTTGAAGAATACGTACCCCTAATTTTGACCTCCAAATAGCCACAACCAAAATTTCGAAGCTGCCGCGCACCTGGTGCCAGAGCCACCGTGGCGGCTGCAGCTGCAGTGGCGACTTCCTTTTGGCTAAGCTGGGCTGCTGTCAGGGAACTTAATTCAAGTTACCATACGATGGGTACATAGTAAATGCCTGAACACCAACAATTCTGTAGAATAATTGCCTCTTGGGCTGTCTTTAGGTTTTTTTGGGCTATGATTTTATCAATTTTTGGTGCCCATGTAGTAAGGTTTCCTGATTAATGGTAACTTACTTCAAGTTCCTTAACAGCAGCCCTGTATTTTCATGGCAGGAGCTCCGCAAGCAGGCATCTGGACAGGGTTTATGAGGCTTGGGTTTAGGGTTTAGGGTTTGGCAGTTTAGGGCTTGGGTTTCAAGGTTTACGTGAAAAAAGAACAATTAGGGGCTGCTTTTTCTACAAGGACATTACCATTTGGGGTGGTCGGGCGAAGCGGTTCAAAATTGTCAAACTGTCTATCATCCTACCTGTAAATACTACAATCATGTCCCTAAACCCTGCATGCTCTAGCATGTTCCATGCTCTTTTCCACGACTTTATCCCCCAAAGCCTTAAGCCCTAAAGCCTAAACCCCTGCTAATTATAGTAGCTTCCGTTTTCTTTTCCATTATCCCAATTTGGAATCCCAATATACCTATATATACAACCCCTATAATCCCTATATAACCCATTACTAAACCCTACACCCTAAAGCGGTCTCCTTCTTCTTGGAGTTCAGCCATCCCACGACTGCGCCCACGCCGAAGCCTTCAACGGTTTGGGCGTCTGGGGCCCTAGCATGAGCCCTTTGCCGAATTGGGATTCTAGAGGCCTAAGTGTGTGTATGCATATATGTGTATATATAGATATATGCGTATGATGTGAATGTATGTGTATATATATATATGTAGACATAGATGTGCCTTAAAAGACAATCTGCATATCCATACACATTATGTATGAGTATGTATAGACAGATAGATATATCATGTATGTACATTTATATTCAACACACGTGCTGCATTACTAACTACGCGATGGAAGGCCCAAACTAAGTAAGTAGGGGAGCCCCAGGATGTCAGGGTGCATACTCAGGTCCCTATAACCCTAACCCGAAACCCTAAGCATCTAAGCCTAAACCTCTAAACCCTAAGCCCTGAACCCCAAGCCCTAAACCCTAAACCTCCATTTCACATATAACTTGAATGACTTAGGGGGCGAAGGTCATATATTTAGTGGGCAAGGTCATGTGTGGATCCTCAGGGCCCTAGGCTGGCGTAGAGTTTAGGGTTCAGGGCTTAAAGTTTAAGGTTCACGGCTTAGAGTTGAGGGTTCAGGGTTTAGAGTTTAGGTTTCAGAGCTTGGGTTTAGGGTTCAGGGCTCAAAGTTTAAGGTTCAGGGCTCAGAGATTAGGGTTCAAGATGTAGAGTTTGGGGTATAGGTTTCTTAGTGACGTGAGACCCAATGGGCGGGTGCGTATATGTCCATTGTTTGATAACACTGCTTGACTGGTGAATGCTTGGACTTGAGATGCTGAAGCCTAAACCCTAAACCCTAATTATGGGATCCTTGAGGGGGCCCCTTATATGGGGGACCCATAATTCAGCCTTTCTAAGACCTAAGGCCTCAAATAAGGCTCCCTAAGGTCCCAAAAGGTCTGCTATTACTGGGGCCCCCTTAGGGCTCCCATAACCTAAACTCCCAGGGTGGTAACCATTTGACGCCTGCAGCCAGAACCCCGAAGACGCCAGAGGTCTCAGGCTCCTCCATCTCCAGCTGCTGCAGCCTTTGTAGGTCTAGATTAGTGATTACTGTTCAGGGTTTAAGTCTAAGTTTCGGGTTTCAGGGTTTAGGGATTTAGGGTTTGAGGTGTTTTAGACTGTTAGGGTTAGGGTCTCGTACACTGATAATAAACCTCCTATCTTGGCAAATGATCAGTATCCCAAGATTATACTATGATTTACTGGGGGCAATCTGTCTCATTAGGGGGTGAGGGCTACTTCGTAGCAGGTGATGATCTAGGGTTTAGGAACAGAAAACGAAACTACTCGAGCATTCAGGACTTAGGGAATGGCAGGACACTGCGCACTACAAGACACTACTAGAGTGTTTGGGGCTTCAGGAACGGAAAAGCAGATGGACACTACAGTAGTATGTAGACTTCAGGAAATAAGAACTTGAAGCTGCTTGTTCACTCTTATCACATATTGCTTGGGGTTCCATTCCTTTTGTTATAAATGCAGATAGCAGATAAGAAGCTGCATCTGTGGTGCTGGCTGCGTCGGGCGTCCACCTGAGGGGGATCGTGATTGTGGTGGTAGTGCCGCGTAAGGTCATGCGAACCTTCTTCCTCTAAACCTCTATGCATTTTAGGTTTTGTGTAGCACCTCATGGGTCTTACACTACTCTCCCTGCGTCACTTAGCAATTCCCGCATAATAAGGGTCCCTGAATATCCCCCAACATTCTATAATCTGTACTCTTTACTATTAGTAGTTGTATTTATATATGTAAGGACCTCAACACAAGGTACCCCTAATTTTGGACTACCCTCACCTGAAACGCCAGCGCCAGGCACCACGTAGGCAGCCGCCGGAGCAAGGAGAAGGGTCACAAGGAGCATACGAGCCTGGGTTGTGCTATTAATAAAGGGCCTCATTATTAAGCGTAAACCCTAAGCCCTAAACTCTCAGCCCCAAACCCGAGACCCTAGACTATTTGTGAACAGATCCCCGGGAATCCCATTATTTGACAACAACGGAAATGATTACAAGGGAAATCAATCCTCAAATGTTACTTAACTTGAAACCCGTAACCCTTAAACTTAAACAACGGACGAAATGAATTACTACTCTTCATTTCGAAAGTCCTGCCGGATCCTAGTATACTGAATTGCCAGACTTCCCGAAGTCTCAGGCACTTTGGACCAGCACAATGTTCAGTATCAAACGTATCATTGACTATCCCATCTTGCCAACGAGGAGCCATTGTCTCTGTGACGCGCGGGGGGTTCTACTCCACCACTGACCGCTAAGAACAACAAAAGCCCTGGCAAGCAGGAAGGTTTCCAAACACCTCCAGACAAGCCATGCAGTTCTGGGAACCAGAACCCGAGCTGAGTAGTACTTTAAAGGGGCCCAAAAAGATTCATGCATAGCTTCGTTATACAACAACAACAACGGGAGGAATCGAACATCATCCAGGAGCGCTGCCCAGCTAAGGCAAGCACGGCTTTTCCGAGCTTACCCCCACTCCCTACACCATAAACCTTGTAAAGCCTACGCTTTAAGCTCCAACCCTTAGCTATGAGCCTAAATCCTCTACCTTAATAGACGTAAACCAAAAACCTCAAGGTCATCACCCAGAGCCCTAAACCTTAAGCCTGAAACCCCATACCCCTAAACCTGACACCCTAAACTCTAAACCTAAGCAATAACCCTTACCGACCTTCTGGCAGACTGTCTGTATTGTTGCTGATATATGGGGGCTTCCCCAAATTTAGGGGTACTCGTACAGGGGATTTAGGGGTTATGTAAAGGTTCTATAGGATTTAGGGATTAATGTTTAGGATTTAGGAGGTAGGTTTTCCCAAAATTAGGGACCACCATTCGGGGGCTCCCATTCATGGAGATTAAAACGTGTGGGGTCTATGGGGTCCCACTATTGGGGGAAAATACCATGCTATCTATTCATAATGGTACGAGAACTACAGTGGCGCAGCGAGTGCTCCCTATGTTCTTGAGGGCATCTCCAACATACCATATTGTGGAAGTGCTACGTGTGAGCCACTGCTTGGGTCGGCCCGGGGTTACCCTAAACTGGGTTGCTGCTAGGGAACTTAAATTAAGTTACTATATTGGGGAAACCCGATTATTTACTATATATACCCATCATGGTAACTTAATTTAAGTTCCTTAACAGCAACCCAGTAAATCCTAAACCCTAAACCCTGAGCTCTCAACCCTAAACCCGACTTCTGGGCTCCAGCACCGTGGGGCTCGGACTCTATCACTAACGCCTACCTAGGGCCCAACGTCTTTTACGATAACCCACATTGGGCTATGGGAAGCCTTAGAGGAAGAGCCCTTAGGGTTTAGGATTTAGGATTTGGGGTTAAGGCCTACCTAAACCCACGAAAATATTTAAAGAATGGCCCTAAACCCATAATAATAGCCCTAAAGGCCATTGTTTTACATACTTATGGGGTTTAGGTATACTGGGTACAGATCCTCCAGCATGTCCCAGGGCCTTCTCTTCAGAGATTTCGAGAAAACAGAGCTCCGAGGCGGCGAGCCTCTGAAACACGACATGGTAGTTTCCCTAAATTACTGTTCCCAAAATGGGGAAAAATTATATGGGGCCTCGTATTATAATAGGAACCCAAATATAGCACCCCGTATTATAGGGAATTTAAACCAATACCCACATGTATTACCAGGACCCACCTAAAGTACCCTTACCTAAACCCCAAAAGTAGGTGAAGTAATGGCCTTTAGGGCTATTATTTATGGGTTTAGGGCCATTATTTTACATATTTTTGTGGGTTTAGGTAGGGTTTACCCTTGAAAGGGATCTATGTAGGTCCTACTTGTGGGTATTTGGGCTGTATTGAGGCTCTAGCCAGGTATTGTTGATGGTTGAAGGTTTAGGGCGTGGGTCAAAGGGTTTAGGGTTGAAACCTTGTGCGGGACTTGGCTGGAATTACTGTTCCCAAAGGGAGCAAAGTGTACATAATAGGGACCCCGCTATGATGCAGGGACTTATAACTGGTTCAGAGAAACCACCTGAACTCTAGCGGAATTAGGGAAATCCCCTGAACCCTGAGCCTCAAGCATTAAGAGTGCTAAGGCCCAAGTTTTAGGATTCTGATGGTTTAGGGTTTAAGGTAAGGATTCTGATTAGAGGATTTGGAAATCCCAACCCTCAAAAATGGGAGCCTACAGGCAGTCATACCGTGGGCTGTCCAAAATGTGATCCCGTTTTGAGAACCCCTGTCAAATATGGGCTCAAATATCTAGGATATCTAGGATGCTTGGGGGGACACACGTTTGAGAACCCTTCATGTACGGGGTTGAGGGTTTAGGGTTTTCCGGTCTCCGGGCCTACACCCTAAGCCCCTAATTCAACCCAACACCGTCAAGGAGGAATTATGCTGCGCTACCCTATCTCTATGGCTTGCTTCGGGTACTGTCGGTACTCCTGCCCCAAACCCAGAAACTTCACCTTGAAAGTGTATTACTGTAGGGGATTGAGCTGACCTATACTACACCCCAAGGATAGTCAGGTCTCATTGGAGAAAATTCAAGGGGAACCTAGGGGGTAGTAAGGGTAGTGTAGGGGAGAGTAGTACGGCAACACACGGTCAAAATCCCAAAACCTTGAAGCTCTACACAGTGAAACCCGCGCTCCCTCAATCTAAAATTCCCAAACCCTAAAACCCTAGACCCTGGCACCCATGAGCCCTAAAAAAACGCGGTTTAGGGTCCAGGATCTAAGGCTTAAGTTTTGAGAGCTCTATACTCTGAAACCAAAGAACCCTTGACTTGAAACCCCGCAAACCCTTAACCCTAGCAGGGTGCCGGGGGTGGGAGCCCTCCTGCTGATCCCTGATCGCTACGCCCTAAATTCTGGACCCCATACTCCTGGAGTGGAAGCTCTAAACTTTTAAACCCTACACCCAAAAACTTAAAACCCCAAATCCCGAAACCCTGAAACCCCTAAAGCCCCGTACCTAAACTTCAAAAGCCTACAGCCTGCACCCCTTAAACCTGGCAACTATGTAAAAGTATATATCTATATAGCATAGGCCAAAATATTGCCCCTATTATGGACTGCGACTGGGTGGGGGCAGTAACCGACCTAAACTCTTAAACCCTTTATATCCTCTAAACCCGAAACCTTAAACCCTAAAACCCGAAACCGCCAAACCCTAATCCCAAAATCCCTAAACCCTACCGCGGTGCTACAACAGTTCGACTCGCAGAACTACTTGTGCGAAGACGGGTCTCTTCTACTCTACATTGGGCGCCATGTTCCCCCTTAGACTCCTACACTGGCGTCCTAGGGCCTCCTGCGGAGCCTCAAAGAATTATAGGTTTAAAATGGGGTAGGGTCGACTCCGCTAGCACGGCCAAGGAAAATGGGACGACTCCGCAAGACACGTAGGAGGTCTGTACCTGAGAAATGGCTCCGTAAGTCAAAACTTTCGGAGCGGTGATGAAATCCGTAAACTCTGCACAAACCCTAAACCCTATATAACCCCATTATAGTATATAACCCCATGTAACACAATAGTAGCTTCCATTTTATTCTCCATTATCCCAGTATAACCCCAACAGAAAACCCTGAACCCTGAAAATGCCCCGGCCTAGCCCAAACTCCACTTCGGTGGCTGCATGTGGCTCTCCCTGCTTAGGGGCAGGGGCACCATGGGACTTTGGTTTAGGGTTTAGGGCTTAGAGTGAAGGGTTTTGAGTGTAGCGTTTGGGGTTTAGACTTCAGGGTTTAGAGTTTAGGGTTTGGCGGGCCCTGAGGCGTAGGGAGCTGTAAGAGATGGAGTTCAAGGTCTAGGGGTATTGGCATATAGGGCTTGGAGGTTTAGGGTTTGGGGATACTACAACAAGGAGGGCCCTAAGGGACCCTAGGGATGGAACCCCAGCGACACATGGGGATTGTAGAGACATTATGGTCATCTGCCATCAAGATTACAGGGATGTTTGTTGCTATACACAAGATTTTTACATAGGAAGAATATAAGGATAAGATAAGGACATTCATAAAGGGCAGGGCTTCTCAAGCTCCGCGGAGTTCTCACAGGGTCAAACCAGGTACGATGGTGAAAAGCGAAAGCGCTGCACTTTCAGTCTCCCGTTTTGACCGTGGAAGCCCTCAACTCGGATTCATCAGCCCTAAACCCTGAAGCCTAAACCCTAAACCCTACACTCTCTCACAGAGAGTTGTTTACTCTTTTTACTCAACTTTGGCACTACCGTGGCAATGCCCGGAGGCATGCGGCGTTCACATCTGCGTCCCAGCGCATCCCAAGGTCTGGGTGCACTGGAAGGCCCACGGTACATACCCATAGGGATTCTATGGGGATTACGTAAGGTTTCTGTAGGGAGTATGTAGGGGTTCTATAGGGATTATGTAGGGGTTCTGTAGGGAGTACGTACATAGGGTTTTGAAAAATGACCGCCAATATTGGAAACTCAAAGTGAAAAGAACATGGAAAAATCAATGGGAAGTGGGCTCACATGAAGCTGTTGAGACGTTAGCTTGCCAAAAAATTCTCGAAGAACTCTGTAGGGAAACGAAGAACCGGTCGTTTCTACCAAAGTG